CATTTTGCTGCATCACAATAAAAGGGTTAAGAAATCTTAAGAAATAAGAAGTAATGAAAAAGAAAATGGAGATAGAGATAATAATAATAACAAAGACTTCTGTGCTTTTACCTGCATCTGATCAGGCTTAATAGTCCATCCACCAATATCTCCACTCATCCTAGTAGCCTGGAATGTCCATCTTGATCCCTTACAAAGAGAGAAAAGGAATAAAATTGGATTATCTACTTCTCTACGGAGAAAAGAGAAAGCAAGAGAGAGAGAGAGAGAGAGAGAGAGAGAGAGAGAGAGAGAGAGAGAGAGAGAGAGAGAGAGAGAGAGAGAGAGAGAGAGAGAGAGAGAGAGAAAGAGAGAGAAAGAAAGAGAGAGAAAGAGAGAGAAAGAGAGAGAAAGAGAGAGAAAGAGAAATGGGAGAGAAGGAGAGAGAGAGAGAAATGGGAGAGAAGGAGAGAGAGAGAGAGAAATGGCATAGAAGGAGAGAGAGAGAGAAATGGGAGAGAAGGAGAGAGAGAGAAATGGGAGATGGAGAGAGTGAGAAATGGGAGAGATGGAGAGAGAGAGAAATGGGAGAGATGGAGAGAGAGAGAAATGGGAGAGATGGAGAGAGAGAGAAATGGGAGAGATGGAGAGAGAGAGAAATGGGAGAGAAGGAGAGAGAGAGATTAATTTAATTCTAAGAACAGAATTTAGATTTTGTGATTATTAAACAAACAGAGAGCCTCTCTTCCTTTTAAGAATTTAATAGTATACTTATATGACATGTAGAGTATTTAAAATATAGTCAATCATCATTTGAATATCAATTCCTAAAAATACTATCCTGTTTTATAAAATAACAAATTGATAGCGTTCTGTAAAGGAAAGAAATATTACTAAAACATTCCTTACCTGCTGATCAAACAAAGCCCAGAAAAATGGAAGAGGAATATACAACACAAGGATCTTGAGCAGAACCTTGACATCGTTGATAAGCTTTGGTTCGTACTTATCTGAAGCATAATCTAGCCAGTGTTCCTTTTTTTCCTTGCTCTTTGATTTGCTTCTCAGTGCATGCTGTGGATGGAAGGTTGCTTTGAAAATGCTTCGAGAAGAGAATGAACTCGAATTAATTACTGGAATTAAGTGTCTATGGAACTTTTTACTGGATATTTAAAGCAATTCTTACATTCAAAGCTACTTTTAAAATCAATAACTTTATAATTAACTATTTATAAACATAGCAATTGCAAACAACAAAATCATTTTACAAACATATGTGTCTTTCATGTGTATTAGATTTATGTTAAAATAAATTCTACATCTAAGTGCATTTTAGAAACATTACCATGCAGGGTGCCCACCACCTACCCAAATAGATCCAAATACATTCGTCAGCATACTACCCTCGGGGGGGATGATTTTGTATGAGCCAGTCAAATATCCAATCGCGAAGATGACTGATGTGTAAGTAAAGGGCATACAAGGTTAAATGGGTTTTTACTTCAAAGGCAAGGAAAACAACAAGGCTTGTAAATTAAGTTGAAGCTTTAGTCTCAAGCTAAAGGAAAAGGTTGCTTTTGAAACTCTTATCACTAAATGTAACAACAGTTACACTGCACTTATCAGGTGCAGCTGAAGTGATGTTAGTTATACTTATGTTATACTCTATTATAGTATTATATATATTATAGTATTATATACTATATTATAGTATTATATACTATATTATAGTATTATATACTATATTATAGTATTATATACTATATTATAGTATTATATACTATATTATAGTTATGTTATACTCTATAGTATTAAAGTGTGTGTGTGTGTGTGTGTGTGTGTGTGTGTGTGTGTGTGTGTGTGTGTGTGTGTGTGTGTGTGTGTGTGTTTGTATGTGTGTGTGTTTGTGTGTGTGTGTGTTTGTGTGTGTGTGTGTTTGTGTGTGAGAGAGAGAGAGAGAGAAAGGAAAGAATATGCATGTGTGTATGCATGTACACATTCCAAAAGATATTCCAAACACTGAGGATCTGTTAGCATCTTGATATGCATAAGATTGTGATGAATGAATTGGGAAACTATTATGCTTAGGCCTGTTGCCATTTCATATTAGAAACTTTTATATAGAGAACCTTAAACCCTAAACATACTGCACTACTCCTGTCAATGATTGATCTATATCATGCTGATACTCATGCAACAAGTATATTCAAACATGCATTTGGTTAATGGTTATTGTTGAGTTAAGCATACAAAGCATTATATATGGTTATTATGTTATGGATATTCTTTGAACAGTAAAATATACAAGTATACAGAATCAAAAGATATGCAACACATCCCCAAATCCTAGACTATATATTATATTATGGGATCTGATAAATAAAGCATGGTACTATGTTTATAGCAAACAAACAGTATTTTAGTTTGATTTATAATTAGCGTTTAATAAAATTCGTATGTAAGTAATCATGATTCCTATGCTGTATTAGAAACCTGGCTACTGGTGAATCTTTAATATAAAAATATGTAAAGTTTGCAATCTATATCTATATAATGATATACAGTTGTTGTACAGTGATCAGTGATTGAATAAACACAAAATAATAACAATAAGCATATATCTGTCTTTGAAACTCCATGAAGTACTTCTGTTTCCAGTTGCACAGAGATTCAAGTATAAAAATATTAACCTGAACTGCTGAGGATCACATGCCATATCCACTGTGAGCTTATTTCATTAACTGTCCTTACAAACAGATGGCTCCAACAAGTACTTAGTAACCAATGAATCAACAACTTGTACTACCTATCTCTCCTGTTTAACCTTTTCCTTGATTTTTGGAAATATCTTCTTTTGCCTTATATTGCCATTAGTAATGCTGCTAATATTCAGATAAATAATTTTTTTATAATAATAACAAGCCTGATATTGATTAAAAAAAGACAAAAAAAGAATGAAAAGAAAAAATATATAACAATAATAATAATAATAATAATAATAACAATAATATTAATAATAATAAATAATAATAATAATAATAATAATCATGACTACAAAGGGAAAGGTGAAATCAGGTGAGGTCACCAGGTCTACTAAGCAACTCCTAGGTGGCCAAGCCCTTGTGGAGCCATTTATGTGTAGAGACATTCCGCAAAACAATATTACAGTGAGTACTACATTTTCCCAGCAAAATTGGGTTAAGAAGAATTTTAAAGACATTAATATAATACCACACAATGCAAAATGAAGGAATGAAACAGGGAATTTGGTGAGCTTTAATGTAAAATCTAAAGCAAGCCCATTTACCTGTAACAGGTTAGCTTAGTATTGCCATTAATTTCAACCTATAACCACTATTGAATCCCTTTTTTTTAAGCTGTTCTCTTTTCTCCATTAAAATAATGCCTCCATTTCCATCACCAAATATGATGATTAGCCTTTGACTCACCGCGACACACGACCACACTCGGACTACTATGTTTCCCTCTGGAGGCTTGATTGTGTACATTGAAAATCCGAGCAGGAACAGAACTGGGAAGTACATGTTGCTATACTTCATGCATAGAATCACGTACATACATTAACTAAAAAGGTACTAAAGCAGCAATTTTAAGATTCACTGATTCTGGAAATTTGATTTATCTTTGCAATTCCATGAGTATCATTTCACTGTACAGAGAGAGGAGCAACTTACTTAGGGCAACAAGCATTAAGACAGCAGGTACTCCAAAGGCCAAAGAGTAGCAGTCATCATTGAAGCACTTTATGTCATCTCTCAAGACTGGTGTTACAAAAGTAGATATAAGAGAACCTGCGTTGATACTGTCCGGGAATAAACAATGATAAGTTACTTCAAAATCAAAGTTATATACTTTAAAAATCAATGTTATAAAGATTTAAACTAGTCAGATTATGCCCAACAGCCACTGGCAATTTTATTCTGTCTTATGACTTTCTTGTTGCTTAAGATTATATTTGGTGTGAACATATCTTCCTATACAAGAAACCCTAGGTATTATTTAAGAGTTCTCCCTCTTCTATTCAAGAATAACTAACCTGAAGTAAAAAATGGAAAAGAACTGGGCAAGCTGTCGCTCCTGTTGAGGAAGAACAAACTGATCTCCTCCAAAGGCTGATACACAGGGCTTGATACCTCCAGTTCCCAGGGCAATCAAGAGTAACCCTATTAGTGACACAGCTCTGCAAAAAAAAAAAGTGTTAATATATTCATATAAAGTAAAAAAGTTTTCTTCTGTTTTTCATTGATATAAAAACAAATTTGTCAGGCCACTTACATTTTTGTATTAAGATCTGGCATTATAGGTGGGATGGCTGAGATAGACAGTACTCCATTGCCAATAACATAAATGATGGAAATGTAGAAGATCGTTCTGAAAATAGAAAAGTACAATCTTTATCATGATTGGAAAGACCATAGAAGGCATTTAACATTAATTCTGGTAAATGGTGTCATAATGATAGAATTTAGGTGTTAGAGAGTAGTCACATAAATAGCAAAATAGCACAAAAAATACCCAAAATTGTGAAATGCAAAGGCCATTGCCAAGTAACATTAAGACAATTTCTATGTAACAAAACATACTGAGCCACACCTGAAACGTCCAAGGAAAGTGTCTGCAATAATGGCTCCAATAACCGGCGTGAAATAGCACAGCATAGCCCACACATGGTAGATAATAGTAGAATCATCCTCACTAAACATCAGTTGGAACTTCAGGTACAGTGTTAAGATGGCTGGAGGAAGAGGCAAAAGAAAGCATAATATCAATTAAATTCCATTCTTAATTTCTTCTTATCATTATCATACAACGATAAAGTCATCTAGCTCTTCATAGACTCGCATTGTGACAACCAATTTTTAAAAAATACAAACCTTTCATGCCATAGTAGGAAAATCTCTCGCAGAACTCATTCCCGATGATAAAGAATACCGACTTAGGGTATGCCAGTTTCTGCAACAAGAAGGACATCATAATTTATTAGGATTATTATGTAATATAAGTGAATCTAGTTACTTCAGTAAATAATTTGTATGGCTTCAGGTGATGACATGAAAAATACAATCTAGTAATACATTACTAATTGTGGTAGCTTTAAAGCAAAATATAATAACATGTAGCTAGCACCAAAAACTGGTAAACATAGAATGTATTGTAAATAGCATGGAAATGTTGCCTTTAATAGTTATAACTGGTAAACCATTGCTATATTTAGTTTGGTTTGGTGGAAAAAGGTCCTTGGGAAGTTTTTCATTTAGTATGGTGGTATAAGTGTTGCATTTGTCAGAACAAGCATTGCATTTAATGGAACAGCCTTTATATTTGATGGAAAAAGTGTTACATATAATGGAACAAATACTACATTTGATGGAATGTGATGAGTTTGTTACACTTATGGATCAAGAATTACATTCGATGGAACAAGCACAACTTTTAGTGAAACAGTGTTACATTTGATGGAACAAGCATTACATTTGACTGAACAAGTGTTACAGTTGATGGAACAAACATTGCAACTGATTGGATTACGTATTCCCTTTGATGGGACAAGTGTTACGTTTGATGAAGCAAATGTTACACTTGATGGAACAAGCGTCATATTGAACCGAGCATGCATTATGTTTGATGGAGAAGTGTTACACTTAATGGAACAACGGTTACATATAAAGGAACAACTGTAGCATATGAAATAACAACTGTTATCTTTGATGGAACAATTGTTGAGTTTTATTGGAACAAGTATTACATTTGGGTAAACCAGAGTTGCATTCGGTGGAACATGAGCTGATCAGTGGTACACCCATAACGATCAAGTGAGTCAGTTCGCAGAAAATGCTTTATATCCCTATTTCCAGAAAGTATCATGAAGTTGTCAATCAAAATAAAAGAAAGAGAGGTAAAACTGAACATTACACACACACATAAGGACTGGATTTTATAAATCGCGGCAAATAATAAATGCCTCGAGGCAGATATTTAAAAGATAGTACAACAGTACGATACATAATAACACATGTTTAAAGTTTTCCAGCTAAATAAAGATACAACAAACGAAGGCCAAAGAAACTTTAAGAACTTGCCCTAAACAGGTGTAAAATATGCAAACTCCTTTCACTTTGACACAAATCATGCGGACACCAAACCAACACCCCTCATAGGTCAGTACTTGCTTTTATACGGACTTCAAGTGCACACAGACAGATACAGATCAATCATTTACAGACACACACACACTCACACACACACACACACACACACACACACACACACACACACACACTCACACTCACACTCACACTCACACTCACACTCACACTCACACTCACACACACACACACACACACACACACACACACACACGCACACGCACACACGTATATTTATACTGTATTATTTATGCGCGTCCGTGTGTGTGTGTGTGTGTTTTGCTAAGTGTAGAAAGGGAAAGTACAACCTTAACAACCACAAGTGTCCATGAAAATCAAACAAATAACTATGACTTAAAAAGACGGGCTCAGTATCTAAAAAAGGGAAAACATTGTGACTGCTCAAATCCCTCGCAGCAACCAGATGTATTAAGTCTGTATTTGTCTTCTGAAATAAGCAATAAATGCCGTGCCTTAGAAATTCAAACATATATCCACATTTCTATTGAAATTATTATGCTGACATAACTTTTCAACTATAAAAGGCAAAGGAAACCTCGAAGCGAACAGTAAAAATCACACACACACACACACACAAATATACACACACACAAATACACACACACACACACACACACTCACACTCACACACACACACACACTCACACACACACACACTCACATATATATATATATATATATATATATATATATATATATATATATATATATATATATATATATATATATGTTTATATATAAATAATACATACATATCAAATACATACATATATGTAGAGTTCTGCGATGGAATATAAATAAATATTTGTTTTCCTTGCTTGTGCTTCAGCATTCATAGGAAATTGTAAACATACACATTATCTATTACGCAATTCATATAAACCGTTGTATCATATAAATGAGTTCAGTAAACAGTTGTTTCCATACGCAAGGCTTGACTTGCTGCAATGCGCGTCTACTGTAATGTCAAATATCCTAATCGTCAATAACCAAGTTTCTCATAAGAAAGACATCAAACAAACTCCGAGACCGGACGAATAAGAGTTGAAACACTGCGAATATTCTTTTTACTACAAATAAAAATCCGTTCGTGCCTTTCGCAACTTCTGTTTTATATTCTAAATATGTTAGGATTGTCTACACATCATAAATAATTACAACTTTTCCCGATTCCCTCCTTATAATTGACAATCATTGCGCGGGTGCAGTTGTCGCCTGTGATTTTTTCTCTTATAGAGACACCTGCTTGTGGATCAAACTACTTCGTCGTTTTCAAGTTTTAGAATTTGAATAGTTCTAAGATTCTGACATGTTTTCCTAAATCGTATTTCCTTCCTGCTGTTGATATTAGAAATTATTTTAACCAGACCGATCACTCCACTCGTGGGATACTGCAACTTATACAAGTATCCCCAGATAAATATTGTCTTCTCCATATTCGTGGTGTTCCGGGTGGAACATGCATACATACAAAAATAACAGCGTGAGGCAAGACCCGGATCCATCTTTGGTACCAACATCATTTTCTCTCCTCCACCTTATCTTTTCATCCCCCCTCTCCCCCTTCCCCCCTGAAACGTGTCTTTTCTTTAAAATGTATCTTGCATTGTAGAAGGGAGGGGGACGGGATGTTGAAAAATGCTAGAGGTTTCGGAGACTGATAGGCTCTTTCACCCTGTATAGATAAATTGTTTACCTTTGGTCTCCTACAGACAAATAAAGGTGATTGGTGAACTGAATAGCATAAAAAAATTATGTTAACAATTCGTAATGGGAATGACGCGCCCCATGTACTCTCGTCATTTCGAAAGTCTCGCCAATTTTATTTCTAAATTCGTGCAGTCCATGCAGGTCTTTCATGGGTCCAGTCCAACACAAGGTATATACTTCACTATTTCCACCTGAACCGCGGTCGGGAGCCTATCAACTCCATAGTGCTCACTGGGTATTGGCAAGAACAATACAAGTACTTATACAGAAGGTACTTATATAGAAGGGAGAGTCAGGTCAGTATCGCGTACCGTCTATGGGGGCCTTAAAGCGATGCCGCGACATGGGTGGTCGAATGCAAAGTCGATACTATATCAATTTTTTCCGATACAAATCTGATTCTACTACCAGTTTACAAATAGAAGACAAATGTAAACTTACCGACGGCTGGTAAGACTTCCTGAATTCTAAAGTACTTCATAATAATAAATCGTCATGAAATAAATCTGATAATCAACGGGACCCTTAAAAAGGATGTGGTCGTGAAGCCATGTTATCTTAAGCAAGGGACAGGATAAACCAAGACATGGTAGACAAATTTACTTAGCCTTCGACAAATGAGAGGAAACAGTTGACGCATAAATCAAATAGCCAATCCTCAATATACAGTACTCTTCTACAGTAATAGATCCTGTGTGACAATTTCTAATGTCACTCCTAACCTCCCTCCCCCTCCACTCCCCACGCCTGAGCTGCTCAAAAGCTCCTAGTGACCTTCCTTCTCACTGTGATTTCAGTGCCCGCTTCTAATGTCAGAGGGATACTTTGCTTCTCATGAAAGTATTTCAGACAAATCTGGCTATCGACAAGTAAGAATAAAATCAAAAGAAGACTACCAAACTGAACTTACCGGTAATACTTTCAACCAATGTCCGCCATGACTGTTCCCTGAAATTCCCTCGAATAATTCAACTTACTTTTACTTCCGTGCTTGAGGAATATAACTTGAAATATGCAGACATTCTTACCACGAGGCACACATGCAAGCACATGTATGTATGTATGCATGTATGTATGTATATGTCGAGCAAAACGAAAAAAGTAGAAAAGAAAAACAGACGAATATGCCGAAAGCCTTTTCACTATATTGCTTCTTCACGATACTAAGAAGAAATATAGTGAAAAGTGAGGAGAGAGAAGGAGAGAGAGAGAGAGAGAGAGAGAGAGAGAGAGAGAGAGAGGGAGAGAGAGAGAGAGAGAGAGAGAGAGAGAGAGAGAGAGAGAGAGAGAGAGAGAGAGAGAGAGAGAGAGAGAGAGAGAGAGAGAGGGGATAGAATAATAATAACAAGAAGAGGAAAGAGGAGAGAAGAGAGAGGAGAGAATGAAAGAGAGAGAGAGAGAGAGAGAGAGAGAGAGAGAGAGAGAGAGAAGGAGAGAGGGAGAGAGAGAGAGAAGGAGAGGGAGAAGGAGAGGTGGAGAGGTGGAGAGGTAGAGAGGTAGAGAGGTAGAGAGAGGTAGAGAGAGAGAGGTAGAGAGAGAGAGAGAGAGAGAGAGAGAGAGAGAGAGAGAGAGAGAGAGAGAGAGAGAGAGAGAGAGAGAGAGAGAGAGAGAGAGAGAGAGAGAAGAGAGAGAGAGACAAGAGAGAGAGAGAGAAGGAAAGAGAGAGAGAGAAGGAGAGAAAGAGAGAAGGAGAGAGAGAGGAGAGAGAGAGAGAGAGAGAGAGAGAAGGAGAGAGAGAGAGAAGGAGAGAGAGAGAGAAAGAGAGGGAGAGGGAGAGGTAGAGAGAGAGAGAGAGAGGTAGAGAGAGAGAGAGAGAGAGAGGGAGAGAGAGAGAGAGGGAGAGAGAGAGAGAGGGAGAGAGAGAGAGAGAAGGAGAGAGAGAGAGAAGGAGAGAGAGAGGAGAGAGAGAGAGAAGGAGAGAGAGAGAGGAGAGCGAGAGAGAAGGAGAAGAGAGAGAGAGGAAAGAGAGAGAAGGAGAGAGAGAGAAGGAGAGAGAGAGAGAGAAGGAGAGAGAGGAGAGAGAGAGAGGAGAGAGAGAGAGGAGAGAGAGAGAGAGAAGGAGAGAGAGAGAGGAGA